TCGTCGTCGTCGCCTACGTCGTCCTCTGTCTTTCCTCGTGTTCGTCGTCGTCGTCCTCTTTGGCGTCGTGGTCGTTTCCGTCGTCGTTGTCGCCGTGGTCGTCCTTCCTCCTCCTCCCTCGTCGTCGTCGTCGTCCGTCGTCGGCGTCTCGTCGTCGTCCCTCCTATTTCGTCGCCGTCGTCGTCGTCGTCGTCTTCCCTCCTCCCTCGTCGTTGTCGTCGTCGGCGTCGCCGTCCTTCCTCCTTCTTCGTCGTTCGCGTCGTCGCCGTCCTCCCTCCTCCCTCGTCGTTGTCGTCGTTGTCGTCGTTGTCGCCGTTGTCGTCCTCCCTCCTCCCTCGTCGTCGTCTTCGTTGGCGACGTCGTCGACGTCTTCGTCGTCGTCGTCGGCGTCGGCGTCGTCGTCTTCGTCGGCGTCGTCGTCTTCGTCGTCGTCGACGTCGGCGTCGTCGTCGTCGCCGCCGTCGTCGTCGTCGTCGTCGTCGGCGTCGTTGACGACGACGTCGTCGTCGTCGTCGGTGTCGTCGTTGTCGTCGTCGTCGGCGTCGTCATTGTCGTCGTCGTTGTCATCGTCGTCGTCGTCATCGGCGTCGGCGTCGTCGTCGTCGGTGTCGTCGTAATCGTCGTCGTCGTTGTCGGCGTCGAAGTCGTTGGAGACGTCGTCGGTGTCGTCGCCCAGCTGGGATGTGCCCAGCAGTCAGCGCCACCACGGCCGCGTCGGTCGCGCCAAACTTGCTGGCCGCTGCGCGCGCGCTTGGGTTGGCGCGGCTGCAGAGATGGGCCAGCTACTCCAAACACTCCTTGCAATCGTCACCACATGGGTTTTGCAAGCCAAGTTGCGGGTGGGTGGGTGGGATGTTTGCAAGAGCGTGGGATGTGTCAACTCGTTTGTTAAAGCCGATTGCACAGCATAGCTTGCACCAAATAGATCCTTCTAGAAAGAACACAAACTGACCCCCCCCTCCGAAATTATCGGCACCCCTTTTTCCGCATTGCAATTTACGTACGATTCTGCCCCATCGTCCGTCCGAGATATGAATCCATACCATCCCAGCTAGCCCTGGCATCGGGTTCCCCCCGCCATCCCCTGTAAAAAAATTCTACGCACGCGAGCCCGTTTATCGACAGGAAAAAAGTGAACAATGATCCATTGCAAAGAAAAGGGGCGAAGTGCACGCGCGCGCATCGTCGCGAGCGCATGCCGGAATCCTCCGAAAACCTGCGGTTCCGTCCGGATTTAGGGGACCCCCCCCCAAAAAAATGAACTTGCGCGCGCGCGCCCTCGCGAATTCTTAGAAAAACCACGAGTTTTTCAACGTGTTCATAAATTGCTACCAGACGGGCTTCGCGCGCGCATGTCGAAATCGTTCGAACGCCTTTCCGCGCGTGCCGTCGCGAGAACCCATTACAAAATGTTAGGACGAACTGAACGCGCGTTGGTTGTCGCGCGCGCGTGCCGAAATCATGAAAACCGTACGTTTCGTTCGGATTTCAAAACCGAGTGCCAAAGACAACCCGGCAAAAACCAGATGGCTTCGTAACGCCAGTTTTCGGAAAAGCGCGCGCTCGCGCCCTTGCGCATCTCTTCTTTTCTATACAAAGAAACGGCCATGGAATTCTGCCCAACCGGCCTCTGGCGCCGCATGCCGACATCATTCGCGCGCCCTTGTGCGCCTGCTGAGGGGTACGATCCGTGTCGAGTAAAACTGCGCGGGCCACTCTCGTGCGTCGGCCGCGCGCGCACGTCGAACTCTTTCCAAAACCTTAACCGCCGACGCGAGGACGCAGTCATCGTCGTCGGCGCCATCAGCATCGGCGCCCGCACTGGCCGCGCTTTCGTCGGTGCCAACATCGTCACCTACATCGTCACCAGCATCACCGTGTCTACCGTAGTCGACGGTGCCATGATACCGCGCCCGCCCACGTCACCAACTCGACCTGAAGTGCCCGCTGGGATGTGCCCAGCGGTCAGCGCCACCGCGGCTGCGTCGGTCGCGCCAAATTAGCTGGCCGCTGCGCGCGCGTGCGTGCGCGGGTTGGTGCGGCCGCAGCGATGCACCAGCCAGCGCCAAGCACTCATCGCAATCGCCGCCGCATAGGGTTTGCAAATCAAGTTGCGGGTGGGTGGGTGGGATGTTTGCGCGAGCAGTGGAGTGGACAACTTCAAATTGAGCATTGGTGATCCTTTTTCTAACCCCTTTTTTTTCCGTATCGCAATGGACATACGATTTTGACGCATCGTCCATCCGAAATATGAATTTACACCATCCCAGCTAGTCCCAGTATCGGGTCCCCCCCCGCCATCCCCTGCCCAAAAAATGCGCGCACACTCGTTTATCAAAAACCATAAGTTGACAAGAAACCGCTGCACAAAAAAGAATGAAGTGCACACGCGCGCGTCGTCGCACGTGCATGCCAACATCCTTCGAAAACCTCCGTTTTCGTCAGGATCGAAAAATCTGCATAGAAAACACAAGGAATCGCAAAACGGATTTTCAAAAAAGCATGCGCGCCCTCTTGCGAATAAACACACAGTTCTTCGACATATTCATAAAATGCTACCAGACGGGCTTTCGCGCGCACGCATGTCGAAATCGCTCGAACGCCCTTGCGCGTGTGCCGTCGCAAAACAAAACCCTTTGCAAAAAAGGGACGAAGTGCACGCGCGCGCGTCGTCGCGCGCGCATGCAGAAATCGTTGCTTGGGATATATACGTGTGTGTATATATATATGTATCCATAGACTTATACATAATACGCGCATACATCTCCAAACAACAAAGAACAACATACGGTTTCGCAACATCAGTTTCCGCGCGCTCGCGCTCGTGCGCATTCCTAAGAAAACCTCGGTTTTTCAACATGTTCATGGAATTCTGCCAGAAGGCCTCTGGCGCCGCATGCCGACATCATTCGCACGCCCTTGCGCGCCTGCTGGGGGGGCACGATCCGTGTCGAGTAAAACTACGCGGGCCGCTCTCGTGCGTCGGCCGCGCGCGGATGTCGAACTCTTTCCGAAACTTTCATCACCGACGCAAAGGCGCCGTCATCGTCGTCGGCGTGATCATCATCAGCGCCCGCACTGGCCGCGCCTTCGTCGGTGTCAACATCGTCACCAGCATCGCTACCATAATCACCGTGTCTACCGTTGTCGACGGTGCCATGATACCGCGCCCGCCCAAGTCGCCGACTCGCACTGAAGTGCCCGCTGAGATGTGCCCAGCGGTCAGCGCCACCCCAGCGGCGTCGGTGGCGCCAAACTAGCTGGCCGCTGCGAGCGCGTACTAGGGTTGGCGCGGCCGCAGAGATGCACCAGCAAACGCCAAGTATGCATCGCAATCGCCACCGCCGCGGGTGGGTGGGTGGGATGTTTGCAAGAACATGGGATGTGTCAACTCGTTCGTAAAAATACAATGCACCACATATAGTGCACCCAGTGGATTGTTATTGTACAAATAGACAGCACCACATTTGTTGCTAGAAACGCTCTGTTCAAAGCCCACGCTGGCTCACATAAGCTGACGGCGGTCCGCGCGGATTCCTTGGATCGGCGGCACCTCCGGCGCCGCCCCTGGCGCGCTCCGCGCGCCAGGGAGGGGACCCAGCGCAGATCCCAGAAATCCGCGCGCAGCTCCGAAATTTGACTGTCATGCAGTTTTCTCGCTTTCGGGTTTTGTCGACGATCCCGGGGCCAGGTAAGGGCCCCTAGAGGCTGGGAATCCCTGGCGTGATTTTTGTCTTAACGCGCGGAGGCAGCAGGGAGGGCGGAGGGAGGACTGTTCTGAAGCTTTGCGCCATGCGGTGTGGAGATAATACCAGAGTTTGACACCACGCGTGCTTCAAAAATCCTCCAAGGAGCGAGGGAGCTTGGAGCGTCGGGTGGGACGCGTCTCCGAGGGGTATTCGGTGGCCTGCCGAGAGAAGGGGGTATGGTGGGCCTTACGCTCTTGGTGGGCGAGCCCCTTTACGAAGATGAAAATACATCGCTACGTGAGGGCTTCGAGGGAGGGGGGGGACTAAACCGAGCTCCGAGGGACGAGGACGAAGGAGGACTGGGGGGGACAGACATCTGACGTCGTGATGTTTGTCACAAGAAGGTGGGCCCCCTGCAGGTCTGGACCCCTTCGCTGGGACAGGCCTCTGGTCACGAGTTGCTTTTGACGTCCTGGGGCCCAGTGAGGGTCCCCAGAGGTTGCAGATCATAAAAAACCTTCCATTTTGAACTTCTCACAACGCGAGGATGTTAGTAGACGCCTCCGAGATGGGGTCCGAGCAGATGGGGTCGGAGGATCGTGCCGCATCGCCGATGCATCAGCGATACATTGGCGCCATCGGCGTGGAGAAGATCAGGCTCTTCATCGAGCCGCATCGGCGATGCATTGGCGATGCGACGCGATCCTCCGACCCCATATACTTGGACCCCATCTGGGAAGCCTAGAGTCAGGGAGGGCGGCGTGAGGAGCACGAGTCGCCATCTCCCTGCCCTGACATCTCGGGCGCAGACGAACCTGGCTCAGCGCAAACACGGCTCAACCAATGTAGAAAAACTGCGTTGCAATTTGTGAGGGGCTCCCCAAACTTGAGCAGGGACCAACCGTCCCGGCACTCCTAGAGGCCTACCATAACATGTCCTTAGAACAATAGAATGTTCTAATAACGAAAACAATGCTCTTAGAACATACAGCAAATGCATTGAAGCAGGACAGTCCCAGCAAGAAATCTCATAAGAACATTTCGCGCAAACCGCAAAGGGCTCTTAAAACTCTCTTTGGCGGGCCTGTAGGCGAGCCACGGCCTCTTCGCCACTGCTTGACGCACCCGGCTCAGCCAATGCGGAAGGCCGGCGCCAGAGCCGCGACGGGCTCCCAAAGCCGCCTCGGCCAAAATCCAGCTTCGCAGGATCCTGTAGGCGCCGGCGCTCTGGCTGAGCCCCGCTTGCTCTGGCCCCCGCTGCCTGCCGGCTGAACACCGTCCCCGCGCGATGGGCGGAGGGCGCGCGCGGGCCGTCGCGAGCGGCGTCTGGCCGTCCGGGGACGGCTCCGAGCAGAAGCTGCTGCCGCCCACCGAGGACCTGAGGCCCAGGCTGGGGGGGGGGGGAGGCGACGGGGGGGCCCCCCACTCGTGGGAGGCGAGGGGGGAGGCGAGGGGGGAGGCGAGGGGGGGAGGCGAGGGGGGAGGCGAGGGGGGGCCCCAGCTCGTGGGAGGCGAGGGGGGAGGCGAGGGGGGAGGCGAGGGGGGAGGCGAGGGGGGAGGCGAGGGGGGAGGCGAGGGGGGAGGCGAGGGGGGAGGCGAGGGGGGGCCCGAGGGAGCCGAGGCCGCTGCCCCTCTCGCGCTCACGCCGTGCGGGGCCTCCGGGGGAGGCCCCTCGGCGCCACGGCCGGAGTCGCCCCTTCGAGGTGCTGGTCGGAGCGCACCCCCAGGAGAGGTGGAGCAGCGGCGGCGGCATCAAATTCCAGGGCAGTGTTTAATACATCTGAGGTTTTGCAAATATAGGATTTTGACGACATGATTAATCTATACATGAGTGTATGCATGAACTCCTCGTTGTTTCTAATACTACATCCCATATTTTTTCATACATGCTCCGCACGCGGCGCATGTATCAAAAACGGCACTGTGTCTCCCCAGCCACCTCCTCTCGACGCGGAAAAGTCACGACGGCCGGTGTTGACCGGTTTTCGGCCTCTGGGAGCCCTTGCTGGGCCCAGGGGGGACCAGCTCAGAGGGGAAAACATGGAGCTGGAATCGGCGATACATCGCCGATAGATCGGCGACAGGCCCCCAATAGCGAACCCGCACGTTTCTGGGCGGGGTGGGCTATCAGGCCCCACATTCCTGATCGGAGGGGGGCAAGGGAGAACCCCCACCTCCAGACGATCGCGGAAAAATCACAACGGGTGGTTTTCGATAGTTTTCGAGCCTCCGGGGGCCCGGGACGAAAGGCTTGTCCCAGGGAAGGGCCCCGCCCTGAAAGGGCCCCTCGGATTTTCTAACATATAGGATTTATACATGATTAATGCATGAATAAATTGATGCATGAATTCATCGTTGATTTTAATACTAAACCCTGCATTATTTTATACATGATCCGCACTCGGAGCATGTATTAAAAACGGCACTGTATGGAAAAAGCACGACGTCTGGGTTCTGGGCAGCGGCGGGGTGGGGGACGAGAGTGCCGAGAGAGGGCGGAGGGGGCGCTGGTGCGGGAGGGTGCGGGGTAAAGGGCAGGGGGGGAGAGAGCGCGGGGAGGTGGATCGGCGGCCTCTGCCTCCCCCCCTCCTCCATCTCCTCCTCCTCCTCCTCATCCTCCCTCCTTCCTCCTCCTCCTCCTCCTCCTCCTCCTCCTCCTCCTCCTCCTCCTCCTCCTCCTCCTCCTCCTCCTCCTCCTCCTTCCTCTCCTCCTCCTCCTCCTCTCCTCCTCCTCTCCTCCTCCTCCTCCTCCTCCTCCTCCTCCCTCCGCGATGGCGGCGCTGGGGTGGGGGCAGCGCGCAGGGCGAGGAGACGACTGTGGCACCACCCGCACTTGCACGGCGCCATGCCGGCATACAGTGTCGCCGTGCGCTCCGGAGTGAGGGAGAGAGGGGGAGAGACAGACAGGCAGAGAAAGAGACATAGGCTGAGACAGAGCTGCAGAAAGAGAGAGGGATAGAGAGAGAGAGAACGAACCAAAAACAATGCAGAGGGAGGGAGAGAAAGAGAGAAAAAGAGAGAGAGAGAGAGAAAGAGTAAGAGTGACAGAGATATAGAGAGAGGGAAAGAGAGAGAGAGAGAGAAAGAGAGAATGAGACTGAAAGACAGACTGGTAATAAGGGAGATGGAAGGGTTTCTGTGTTGTCGACTTCTAATCACATCCATACAGTTCCAAACTCGAACATCGAATCTAAGTAAACAAACAAACACCATCACAAACAAACAAACAATTAAACAACTAAACAACTAAACAAACAAACAAACAAACAAACAAACAAACAAACAAACAAACAAACAAACGACACGCAGAATTACAGACAGGCATACTGACAGTCTGGAAGTCTGAGAGGGACCATCGCGTCTCACCGCTGCACGGTCGACATGCTAAGGGCTATGGCAGGTTGGGTCGTCTAGCGATCCTGAGCGCGCTGTTGCAAAAGTAAAAGCGCAGCGCGAGGTGACATCAGAGTCACTGGCGCTCGGCTGACGCTGTTTTTGCACACTGTCACTCATCGCTGAAAGCGGCGAGAACGTGCTGAACCTGACGAAACGTCGTGACACGGTGCTGCAGCAACGCAGGCACAGCGACAGTGGGCGGCACAAGCATCCAAATAGCATAAACTCTGCTTCCCAGCAGGGCCATTCCAGCGTCTCCCTGGCGTGCTTGGCCCAGAGGTGCGGTCGTTGTGCACCACGTGGACAAGCATTATTGCTCGCGTTAGGGAACCTCTGCGGCTGCCTGCGATCCATATCCCACCCGCTGGGGTTACATCATGTGTGGTAGGCGGTGGCTGTCTCGCCCCAGATGGTCACAAGAGGATCAGCGACAGACTGCGGCTTTGGTGGAATATATGCCTGCATACCACAGTAGAGAGCTCGCATTAAGGCTCGCCTTACTGAGCAAACTTGAAAATGTCGTTCGATCGCACACAAGGAGGCAAGGCAGAGAAAACAGCGGGGGCGAGGAGAGCGTTAACGCGCCATCTGCATTCAGACGTGATTTATGCATCACAGGGTTCTGCGACTTCTGGCAATCGTGCCGATTGCGTATGCTGCCAACGCTTGGTTACCCAGGGCCGCGAGCGCTCTAGCCCAGCGACTCCCACAGGACATTATATGCCGTTGAAACCTCAGAAGGCCACCCTGGGAAGGGGTGCTATTGCGCTCACGCAACAGCCGATCGCCAGCATGTACCTTGTCGACGCAGTTGAGCTGCGCCGACTTGGCAGTATGGACAAGTATGTGCTGTCAGTATCGGACCCCCGAGACGCACGGAGGGCGCCAGGAAAAAACATCAGTGGCTCCTGGAAAGCCTGGGAAGCTCGCGGAGGGCCAGGGAAACTCCCTGAAATCGCTGGGAAGCTGTTTGGAAAATCTTAGAACGCTTTGGGAAGACCGTGGAAATCCACCGGGAAGCCTCTGGAAAGCCCGTGGGAAGCCTGGGGAAGCCCCTCGGAGACCCATGGGAAACCCCTGAGAATCCCTGGAAGGCCCCGGCTGAAGAGGGAGAGGGAGGGGAGGGGGAAGGGAGGGGAGGGGAGGAAGAGGTGGAGGATGACACAATGGAGTGGAGCAGGAGATGCAGGAGATTAGAATGAACATGGTGAGCAGCGGCAGCAACAGGATAATCGGTTTGCTCTGAGGCCTGAGGACGACAATGAAAACGAAAATCTGGATGATGATGAGGACGAGGATGAATATGATGACGATAACAAGGATTGGATAGGGAACAAGGTGAGGATGCGGGTGAAGGGGAGAACCGGGATGAGAAGTGGGAGGAGCTGGAGCAGTAGAGATGGCCGAGATCACATGTACAACACACTGCGATGCGTTGAGCAAGACTTGCGCTAGATCTGTGGCGCTTGCGGCCGATGCGTGCCCGCTCAAGCCTTGGGATCCGTACCTACATACACTAAAGTATGGAGGGCCCTACGCTGAAACATAATGCATACATTTTGTTGAACTTCTCCTGCTCGCGAGCCTACTCAGAAGAATGTCCACTACAGTGTGCGCTGTGGCAGGTGAAAGCATAATATCATGGTCATGTTCCTGCCTCTGGAAGCCGAACCTGTTGCCGAGCGTGGAGATTCTTCAGACGGCAACATGGGACCACGGCGCGTCGTCGACGACAAGGCGATACACGTTATTGTAGTTGTGGATGCCCTGAGGCAAGAGCGTGCATGGGAGTGGGCGACACAGGAGGTGGCAAAAAGGAGCTGACGAAGCAGCTGGCTACATGAACCTCGGTGCCCCCACACCTCACGGCGCCAGGAGCAACCTGGCATCGATGAAGCCGCAGAGTGGCGGTGCCAGCAACGGCTACACACAGCAGGTTTCGTGGCTTCTCCTCTCCCATAGGGCGACGCAATCTATACATATCCACTGCTCCCTGGCCAGGCCCATCCTGAACACAGCAGCTGTGTATACGCCACGCCCTCCTGGTTTGGCCAGGAGGGCGTATACACAGCTCCTGGGTTCAGGATGGGCCTGGCCAGGGAGCAGTGGATATGTATAGATTGCGTCGCCCAATCCCACCCCCCGCCCCCCTCTCTTCCGTCCGCCCGAATGCCCACAGCCACGAGGGCTGTGCGCTTGAACGTGCTGGCGTTGGAAGGCAGCGCCACCACTCTGCAGTCGCAACGCTCGCGGAACGGAGGTCGGCCGGAGGAGCGCCACGAGGTCGCGTCGCGGACGTCTTCCGCAGACCAGAATGAAGGGGAATTGGGACACACAAATAAATACACACAAATAAAAATATCCCCCATATTTTCCTATATTTTCTGGGTTTTTGTCTTCCCCCCCACTTCCCATATTTTCCCATATTTTCTGGGAATCGCCGATTAATTGTGTCTGTGTGTTTTTTCCCCTCCTGACAGAAATCCTCCTTGGATATGCCCTCGCCCACGAGCACGGAGTCGTCGCTGAACGAGACCATGCCGAAGCGCGCCCGAGGACAGAACGGAGCCTTTGGTGCCACATTCCTCCGCTCGCCCAGCGGGGACATGATCCCGGCGTCGCGGAAGTCCGAGAAGCCGCCGCTGGCCGCCCGTGAGCACAAGGGAGCCGTTCGGACAGGCGCGCCGTGCTGTGCAGGAACCGCCTGTGCCACGGCGGGGAGGGCAGCGCGGCCAACAAGCCGTCCGAGGCCAAGCTCCACACGTCGTTGTACACGCTAATGAGTTCAAGTATGAAAGTGGAAGTTTACAACGCTCGGGCCTCTGTGGTGGGCCCCAATGCAAGGAACCCCCGCTTGCACCGCTCGCGGGGCGCCCCGAACGGCCCGCGGCATGGCCCCGCGCATAGCGGCGCGCCGTCGGTTTCGAAAAGCCCGCGCCGAAGTGGGGGAATCCAGAATGGAATCCGCCATGAGAACGTCGTGCAGAACAGCCGACGCGGGCCTCTTCATATGAAGGCGCCCGCGTCGGTGCTCGCCCCTCCCGTCGCCGATGACCCTGGTCGCCGCACGCGGACTGCCCGTGGACCAACGCGGGTGCTTCCAGGGCCACTGCCCGGCAGGCGGCGCCGCTGGCCGCGCTCCGCCGGGGGCGTCCGGCGCCCACGCGTCCGACAGCGAGGGGTGGCCGCCGTCCTGCTGCTGGCCGCCGGTGAGGATCAGGGTCCCGTTCCCAGACATGATGGCGTCGCAAACAAAATTCTGGACGGGAGGTTTTTCGTTCTTCTCTTGCACAGGGTGTCTAGAGCTCCGACCACTTCATTCCGCGTCGCACCCCCCCCCGCGTCCCCAACGCCAGAGTGGGACCCCCGCGCCGTGGCTCTCTGCCCCGAGCCCCCCCGCGTCCCCAGCGCCCCAGCGGGAGCCTGCCCTGCCCACTGCCCCCTCCACCACGAACGCTTTATTCCGCGTCGCACCCCCCCCCCCGCGTCCCCAGCGCCAGAGTGGGACCCCCGCGCCGTGGCTCTCTGCCCCGAGCCCTCCCGCGTCCCCAGCGCCCCAGCGGGAGCCATGCCCATTGCTCCCTCCGCCACGAACGCTTTAGTCCGCGTCGCGACGCACACCACCTCCCCCACCTCCATCCCCGCGTCCCCAGCGCCCCAGTGGGGGCTCTGCCCCGTGCCCCCTCCGCCACGACAATTTGACTCCGCGTCGCGACGCACACCACCTCCCCCCCTCCTCCCCCCCGACCCCAGCGCCCAAGTTGGACCCCCGCCCCGTGGCCCTCTGCCCCAAGCCCCGCCCAGTGCCCCCTCCGCCCCGACCATTATATTCCGCGTCGCGACGCACCCCCCCCCTCCTCTCCGCGCCCCCAGCGCCCCAGTGGGACCTCCGCCCCGTGCCCCCTCCGCTCCGAGCACTTTATTCCGCGTCGCGGCGCACACCCCCCCCCCCCCTCCCCACCTGGGATTTGGGCCCCGTTGCTGGGCCCCGAGGGGCGATGTCTTGCCCCCTCTTCCCCCTCCTCCCCCACCTCCTCCTTCTCCCCCCTCCTTTTTGTGCAATGTGCAAGAGCCATGGCACACGTGCCACTTGTTTTCGACCCCTAAAGGCCCTCGCTGGGCCCCAGGACCGTCAAAAAACGACTCGGGATGAAAAACCGGTCCCGGGGAAAGGGTCGGGACTTCCAGGGACGCCGACCTGAAAAAATCAGGACGTCGCATGTCTGGGTTCGCGAGCGCCGACATGCCGAAGTTCGCTCTGGCGGGCCACTGCGGTGAGCCGAAGGGCACCAGGGTACAACACGCCGTCCTTCAGGGTCATGCGGCAGGCGTCGTTGAAGAAGTGCGACGGGCCGTCTGTGCCACCGGCCACGACGGCCCGCGGAGATCTCCATCTGGAAAGCTGACCGCGGGGACCAGCCAGCATCCTCGCGCTGAGTCCACTCACTGGCTGCGCGCGGTAGCAGGAAAAGCGCGACGGCAGTAGAGGGAAGCATGGCAGGCCCAGCGCGAGATCCGCCAGAAGACCTGCGCAGGGCTTGGGGCTCGGGCCGAAAAGCAAGCACCTGAGGGCGAGGAGCAGCAGCAGCAGGAGGAAGATCAGCAGCAGCAGCAGCAGCAGCAACGGGGCACGACCCATGGATGCGTATCGGTGTCTGTACATGTTCGCATCCTCGCGTGCTTGTCGGTGCCTCGTCCACGTGAGGTAGGCACTACAGCCGAAATGTGATCAAGAAGCTCATCGTGTACGAAATCTGGGCCAGCGTCCCAGAAATTCCTGAAAACAAGCGTGGGCCAACTTCTCGGGTTAACGCTGGAGAGGCGAACGCCCTCGAGAAACTGGACACGCTTTCTGGCAAATTGGCTAAGAAACGCTGGCCCAGCTTTCCCGGAGGAGTTATTTGATAACTCGCTCGACTGGTATGGTCACCGCTGTCCCAAGGTGAAGCGACAAGCTGAACACCAGCGCCAGCTCTCCAAGCTCGCCCCTGGAGAGTTACCACAGAACTTAATACTACGCAGCGGCAACAGCAGCAATATAAGTAACGAAAGCAGCAGCACAACAAAAGGTGGGCAGAAGGAGGGGGCGAGGGGGAGGAAGCCAGGTGGAGGAGGATGACGACGGCGACGACGATGAGGACGACGAGTAAGACGAGGAGGAAGAGGAGGAGGAGGAGGATCAGCAGCACGATTTGCGAAGCAGCATCACTGATACACCTCCACAGTTGAAGGCTGTGAATGTGACTGCGATCGTTCTTCATCGGAGCTTCCATCTTGTAACGGATCGTGCCATGCGTGTGTGCCCCTGTGAAATCACGAACTGGCCTCTGCATACCTCTGTAATATGATTATCCTCGTCTTGCGATTGCTGCCGTGGGTGCCTAGACGACATGTCCTACCCGGCATTCCCACTTGTATGGCCTCGCAGCTCGAGGGAAGTACGACCGCGTAAATCCCTCCAGCGCACTAGCAGCGCGCCCCCTCGCACACGTCTAACTCGGAAAATGCGCTGCCATGCGTGAGCACACATTACTGCATACAAGGGTGCCAGCGAACTGTGCGGGCAGAATCCCTCCTCGTGAGCAGTACAGTGGCTTCTGGCCTCGATGTTCTCACTACGCATGCGCCATCACACGCCGTACTGGCAATGGCCATAGTTCGCTTGGCTGCCGACATCTGTCGGATAATCCTTCGAGTCCGACGGCTGAACAACATGCGCGTGCCACCCTCAGCACTTCGTTCCACACGTGCCCGCTTGCAGCATGTAGGTGCTGGCCCAGCACGTGTGTGGTCCAGAGTTGTGGCAGCCCTGCTGGGGCGGCGGCTGGCCTGCGACATCACAGGCACCGACGCTGTGTGTGTATGGGTGGTCGGGGAGAAGACAGCCTCCGCTCCAAGCGTTTTCCCAAACCATGGTTCAAGTCCACATACATGCCGTTCATGTCTAATCGTGCTCATTTCTAATTCTGTTCGTTTCTAATTGTTCCTGGCCCCCCAGTGGCAGGAAGAGGCCCAGGATCGAACAATTAGAATTGAAAGGACCTTGGCCCCCCAAAAAATCAAACAACTGTCGAATAAGTAGAAATGAACCATGTGTAGACGAACGGCCTACGAAGAAAGGAAGCTCCAAGGAAGCGCCAAGGGTCCAGTCCAGATTCTTGATGTTCTTGAGCAACATCTGGAGTCCACGAACGTTTGCGCTTTTGCTTAAGGTTTCTGATCGGTGGACAAGGATGAGGTTTGAACTACGGCTGACCTGAACATCGTGCGCGAATATGTGTTCCCGAACCGTTCACGAACTGCTCGTCTTGAACGTTTCCCCTCAACCGAGCGGCCGTGGACAAGGCCCTTGGGGGGGCCTTGGAGTTCGCGAACAGATGGTTCTGAGCCGTTGACAATTGGTTTGCGAACATTCGAACACGAGCATGGAATTGCAACCTTCTGTTTGCCCTTCCGAACACAATATTGGGTTCGCCCAGGGTTGGACGCTCCAGCTTCCCGTTTTTTGGAAAACCATGACAGCGGAGGCCCTGCCCAGGGAGGGCGCCCAAAATGAGCCAGACATGCGACGTCCTGATTTTTTCAGGACGGCGTCCCTAGAATTCCCGACCCTTTCCCTGGGACCGGTCTTTCGTCCCTAATCGTGGTTTGACGGTCCCGAGCCCCGGCGACGAAAATGGCCCAAAACATCCCGTCTTGATGTTTTGACGACGAGATCATGTCTGGGTCTCGCCCCCGCGCCCGAGCGGAGGTCCCCCGTGGCACCCTCCTCCCCAGACCCCCGACGTAGTGATTTTTTCACGACGCGACCCCCAGAGGTCCCGACCCATTCCCCATGACCGACTTCGCATCCTGAGTCGTTTTTTGACGCTCCTGAGGCCCGGTGAGGGCCCCCGGAGGCCGAAAAGTAGGAAAAACCTCCCGTCGTGATTTTTTCATTACTCGAGGGGGTCTGGGTCCTGTCTTACCTCTATCTCTCGTCTCCACGGCGGCCTCCACGAGTGCCCCCGGAGGCCTCCGGCGGCCCTGGGAGGCCTCCGGCCGGGGAGGCCCTCCCGAAGCCGGCAGCGCGCCCCGGGCCGCCCCAACGCGCGTCGGCAGCCCAGAGATCCGAGATGCCTGCTTTCGGCGCTGCGCGGCCCCCGAAGTCCCGACCCTGTCCCCAGGGCCGGCTTCGCATCCCGAGTCGTTCCCGACCCTGATGGTCCGCTACCGAAAATTTCCGGTAGCGCTCCGCAGAGATCGGTCGCTACCGAAATACCGAAATGTAGCGCCCAATACCGGTATCAGAGCGTTCTGAAATCCACTATTTCAACGCCCTCAAACGAAGATCCGGTCGCTACCGAAATTCGGGGTGCGTCGAAATCGCTACCGAAAATTTCCGGTACCAGACCATCTGGGTGTCCCCAGGGCCGGCTTCGCATCCCGAGTCGTTCCCGACGGCCCCTGCGCCCGGCGAGGGCCCCCTGGAGGCCGAAACACGACGAAGGCCTCCGCGGATCGACTCGTTCAATGCACGCTGGAGAGGTGGCGGGCCCAGGCCCTCGCCGAGGCGCCTACTCGGGTCGGGCGAAAGGGGGGGATAGCAACCCTGACCTTCCAGGAGGGCTAAAAAATGGCACCCGACGTAAAAACCTATCCCAGAGCTATTTTACGTCTTGGTTTTAGGCTGTTTCGTCTCGTTTTTTAGGTTTTTAGGTTTCCAGTGCTAAAAAATAGCTCTCTGGAAGGTCAGGGAGCAAAGGGGGGGTGTGAGAATCAGCTCACGTAGCTGATTTTCCCGGCGCCTCCCAGCGCCGGAGGCGCGCATGTGTTGAGGAATGGGCCCCATCGGTGGGACCGAAACCAGCTGCATGCAGCAGACTTCGTACCCACCCCCTTACCCTATTCCCCTGAAACAGGGCTAGGATCGGGATAAATCGCTCCAGAGCGTTCCGGAGCGCTCTCAGAGCGTTCCGGAGCGCTCTCGGAGCGGCCGCGGCGCCTAATACGTCCCCCAAACCCGCCCGTTCTCAGAGATTTCGAGCTCTATCCCGATCCGAGGTTCTCCCGGTCTTCGCGTCGCTCTATCCCCCCCCCCTTTCCCTGACCTTCCAGAGAGCTATTTTTTAGCACTGGAAACCTAAAAACCTAAAAAACGAGACGAAACAGCCTAAAACCAAGACGTAAAATAGCTCTGGGATGGGTTTTTACGTCGGGTGCTATTTTTTAGCCCTCCTGGAAGGTCAGGGAAAGGGGGGGTGAGAATCAGCTCACGTAGCTGATTTCCCAGGCGCCTCCCAGCGCCGGAGGCGCGCATGTGTTGAGGAATGGGCCCCATCGGTGGGACCGAAGCCAGCTGCATGCAGCAGACTTCGTACCCCCCCCCCTTACCCTATTCCCCTGAAACAGGGCTAGGATCGGGATAAATCGCTCCAGAGCGTTCCAGAGCGCTCTCAGAGCGTTCCGGAGCGCTCTCGGAGCGGCCGCGGCGCCCAACACCTCCTCCAAACCCGCCCATTCTCAGAGACTTCGAGCTCTCCCGATCCGATGTTCTCCCGGTCTTCGCGTCGCTCTATCCCCCCCCCCTTTCCCTGACCTTCCAGAGAGCTATTTTTTAGCACTGGAAACCTAAAAACCTAAAAAACGAGACGAAACAGCCTAAAACCAAGACGTAAGATAGCTCTGGGATAGGTTTTTACGTCGGGTGCTATTTTTTAGCCCTCCTGGAAGGTCAGGGTTCGCTCGGCCCGAGAGGCGCCTGCGGGAGGCCACGGGTTCGCGCGGCGGCCGGCGGTGGGGCGGCGGCCGCGGCGGGCGCGCGGGGCGGGCATCGCGCGCCGAGGCCCGGCGGGGGGGCCTGCGGGCAGAGCGCGGGGACTCCGAGGGCGGGCAGAAGCCGGGCAGCGAGGCCGCCCTGGTGGGGCGGACGAGCACGGGCGCCTCGGGGGCGGGCAGAGCGCGGGCCGCGGCAGGCCGCCGCCGCCTCCTCCTGCCTCTGCGCCGCCGTCCCCCGTGCTGTCTCTTTTTTTGTTCTCTCTCTCTCTCTCTCTCTTTTTTTCCCTCTCTCTCTCTCTCTCTCTCTCTCTCTCTCTCTCTCTCTACATATATATATATATATATATATATATATATATATATCCACCTCCGCCCTCTGCTCCGCCTCTTCCACCTCGTCCCGCCACCTCCTCCTGCGCCCCGGAGCAACCTCCCCATCCCCCCTGTCATCCTCCACCTCTCTCCTCCTCCTCCTCGCCCTCCCTCTGCTCATCCCTCCCCTCCACCACCTCCTCTTCTCATGACTCCTTCCCCTCCGTCCAAAAATGCTCCCCCATTTCTCCCTGGACGGCCCCTTCCCCCTTCCCCTCCCCCTCCTCTCGCTCTTGGCTTCCCTTCCCGTGAGCACAGCCTTCCTCCCAGCTGTCGGTGCTCGCGCCCTCTCGCATCGTCGCTTTGGAGCGCCGCAGGGTCGAAGCCCCAGGGGAGCGGCATGCGCGGGAGGGCTCGGCCGAAGAGTCGCAGCCCTCCGAGGATGAGGACATCTTTCTGCAGCTCGACGATCTGCCCTCCCAGACCCCCTCGAGTAATGAAAAAATCACGACGGGAGGTTTTTCCTAATTTTCGGCCTCCGGGGGCCCTCACCGGGCCTCGGGACCGTCAAAAAACGACTCAGGATGCAAAGCCGGTCATGGGGAAAGGGTCGGGACTTCTGGGGGTCGACGTAATGAAAAAAACATTACGTCGGGGGTCTGGGCTCGTGGCCAGCCACCACGACCACTCCCACGTGCACAGCGTTTCTCCCCCCCGCCCCCCTCACCCTCTCTTCTGGGCCTTCGCGCCATTGCCCCCGTTCCTAGAATCGTCCCTATTCTCGTCGCAGCGATTGGCTCGGAACCCCCTGCTTGGTAGCACCCCCCTGTCCGTGGCTCTCGTTGGCGAGGGAGGGCGCAGCAGGGGGGGGGGCACAGGAGACATACACCATGGGAAATCTTGCCACAAGAAATCTAAGGGCACCCGTGTCGTCGAGCTTTGAGTTTCCTGGGGTGCCCCCTGGGCTTCTCTTGACTCCTGCTGGCAGGCCAGTCTCTTAGTTGACGTGCCGACTGTAGAAACAAAAAGATCGGCCAGCCCCCTTGTGGGGCCACCAGGCTGTAGGACGAAGTTGCTGCTCCCTCCACCAGTTGCAGCTTCAGGTCTCCAATGTTGCAGGCCTGCTCTCTGCTTCTTACTGTAAACTGTGGAAATCCGCGCGAGGGTGGGGAGCCCCAAACCGGCCGGTCACCATCTCCGAATCGCGTGCTCTCAATTTCCGGGGGGGCGTGGGACGCATGAAAATACATTAGATTTGCGCAATTCTTCGTAAACTACACAATGCTCGCGCCCCCGAGAGCACAAACCCTTGAAAAACACACAAGCTTTGCGTCCCCGAGGCAACGAACCCGTGTATATTCAATAGTCGCGTCCCCGAGGCCATAATCCGTTGCAAATTACGCGGTAGTCGCGTCCCCGAGGCCATCAACCTCACAAATTAAGCATTTCTTGCGTCCCCGAGGTAAGAAACCCTTTGCTAAATACTCAAAATCCGCGTCCCCCAGGCCATAAACCCTCGCAAAGTATACCATATTCGCATTGCCGAGGCCAAGAGTGGTCCAAGGCGCCCGAAGATGTTTCCAAGACGTCCCAAGAGGGCCCCAAGAGGCCCCGAGAGCGCTCTAAGAGGCATCCCGAGAGAGCTCCAAGAGGCCAACCTCGTCGATGTTACGAAGGTTTGTGAAGGATGCTGCATTCTCGCATTTTCAGCTTTCCGACGCTCCAAGACGGCTCAAGAAGCTCCCAAGACCGCCCCAAGACAGCCCAAGACGCTTCCAAGAGGACCCCAAGACGGCCCAAGAGGGCTCCAAGATGGCCCAAAAAGCGCTCCGAGAAGCCCCGAGAAACCCCCAGGAGGCCGCCTGGAGGCCCCAAGAGGCCCCAAGAGGCCCCAAGAGGCGCCCAAGACGCGCCCATGAGGCCTCCAAGAGGCCCAAAGATACCCCACGAGGCCCCAAGAGGCCCCCCCGAGGCGCCCAAACCGCCTCCAAGAGGCCCCAGAAAGGCTCCCCACGACCCCCCAACATATATGCAAGAGGACTCAGACCCACAACCCAGGCACGGTGGCGGGATGGGCCGAAGGCCACTAGGACTAGGATAACGCCAACGTCTCAATATGCGCTTATGATTCCTATCCGCCCCCGTATGATGCTCCCAGTTGCGCCAAGGCAGCGCCGAGACGCACCGATGCGGCTCTGATATATGCCATTGTGATAAAGAGGGGGCCGGCTGCAGGGGGCGAAGCCCTCACGGATAGAGAAGCGAGCGAGAGCGAGAGAGAGACCCAAACACCCAGGGCCCCCATAGGCAGAAAGATGCGAAGAGGCGCCCGTCGTAACTTTGTTCGACACGAACCGGGGAAGGCCCAGGGCCTGGGGAAGAGGGGGCAACTGACTACCTACCAGACCACCCCAACCCAACCCGAAGACCCAAATTTGACCCGAATTTCGGGTTGGGGGGGTACGGATACCATGTGTTTTTTCAACGTTCCCCGACCCCCCCCCCACTGGAAATCGAGGATAAATTTGGGCCTTCGGGTTGGGTTGGGGTGGTTTGGTGGGTGGTGAGCAACTGGCCAGCGGGCACCTTCACCAGAGACGCCCGCTTCGCGTACTCGAGGGTGTTGTTGGAGTCCTCCGCGGCGCGAGCCCGTCCAACTGCGCCGCGCACCCGGCCGCTGCCCCTCGCCCGCGTCCGCAAGTTTGCTTGCTTCTCCTCCTCCTCCTCCTCCTCCTCCTCCTCCTCCTCCTCCTCCTGCAAAACCCTGAGGAGGGTTCTGCACGGGAGCTTGGCGACAATGATAACGATAGGTCACCTTTATACTCCCGAACGGCGCAACTGGTCGATGTGACTTCGACCGTTAAACACTTGAGCCAAAGGCAGCGGGGTTACTATTCCTCCCCTGTCACGCGCATGCCTGCATGTTAACACCCCCCCTCGGACGCCAGTCCGCATTGGCTGACGGGGAGGTGCTAGTAAACACAAAGACAGGTTAAATCAAGCGACAGGCTGCGTGAGTATCGTCACACTGCCGAATTCGCAATATCTCATAACCACGTTCACGAGCACCACGTCTCTCAGACATGCAACGTGAGCTCAAGTAAACATTCAATCAGTTACGAGTTTAAATGTAGCATCCAAAGTTCACACGGCAGGCTAGCATTTACATGGTTTTGATTGCTTTCGCTTTTTATGCGCCAATACCTGCGGCAACTATAAAAGATGCACATGCAAATAGATTCAGCTCAATAGTCTACTGCAACGCTATTGTTAAGCCTGGTTGAGAGGGGAGATGAGAGCGAGCGTAAAAGAAAGACATGCCGGTCACCTGTCACCGTTTACGACCGGCGCGGGCGCCTCACTGACGGAGCACGCGCGCCCCTGGACTGCGGTAAACCACGGTGCCCCACGCTGGCCGCCGTATAGGACGACACCCTGTTAAGGGCCTGCGTCGGGCTGTAATAGTCGGTGTCCAGGTACGCGTTAATGCGCTCCTCGTCGTCCAACCAGCACCCCTCGTCAAAGCTCTTGGTGGACCCGTCAACAATATTGTGGTAAGTACCAATGGCCCTCCAGTAACTGGCGTGGGGAGCCTTCAGCAGAGGTTTACCACCTGGATTGTTGCGGAGGTGCTCCTCGACCGCAACTCCGGTAAACGGGTTCACAGTCCAGTACGGGTCGGTAAGCCAGTTGGCAAAGTCGTCACACGGCAACCACCCAAACCAACAGAGCTTCTCGCGGTGGTCACTTTTACGCTCGGTGATGTGATCCGCAGGCCAGTTGTCACGGTAGAGCGCCCTCATGGACCCCTGGTCGTTAAGAGCGACCTCCAGGATGGTCTGGTGCCAGTAAACCGGGGGCTTGTTGATGCTGCCCTTTAACTCCTCGGCGCTCCTGACCTCGAGATCCTCGATGAAGTAGTTGCGGTAATACACCTGGAGCCCGTTCATGTAACGACAATAGAGCTTGGCGAGGTCGTGCGTCGCAAACCTGATCACGGTAACCCCAGTTGAGATGTAGCCGTGCGGTCCGTAAGTGTCTTCCACCAGGTGCTTAACGGAGACCACGGTGGGGTTGCCGTGGGGCAGCATCCCGGCCCACGTTAGCAGAAGGCCGTTAAGCTGTTTCTCGTTCATTTCTGGCGCCTTGTTGACGTAGACCTGTGTGTCTGGGCAGCTGTGAACGTCGAACCACACTGGGTGGAGATCGTTAACGTGAATCGGCGGCACGTACTCGTCGTCGAACAGGGATTGTACGTGCCCGACCGCGTCAACCCACTCGTCGTGCTTTTCCAGCTCCTTCTCCGTCAACTGAGACCTCCAGCTGCTTGGGCCCTTTAACACGGAGTAACCAAGGAAGCCGTAGGCGTGCTGCCCGTAAATGTCGACGAACACCTCATCGTAGTCGTTGAGTTCCCGCCCCGTGTTGCCCGGGATGGATCGACCACCTGGAGTCGTTAACCCCTCTTTTGCCACATGTCCGACGAAGTTGCCTTCGAACCTGCGCCAGTTGTCGCGCGTCTTCATCGTTAATGCGACTACCTCCCTGGGGTCGGGCTCCACCTTGTAGTTGACGTCGTGGTCCTCGCTCTTGTCGTTTACCATGGGCATGCGGCCGTTGACGTGATACAGTGGCCGGTACATGCCCCTGGCAATGTTCCGCGAGTATGCCGCAAGCTGCTCGTCCGTACGGTTAACGGCTTGAGGCTGCGGTGGAGGAACACACTGGGTCGATAACTTCTTGGGCACTGGAGGCGGGGGATTCATGCCGCTAACACTGCTTGATGCACCTGACTCTCCAAGGCCTGGAGGAGGCGGCTTGGGCGCCCTCACTTTCACCACCGGGGCAGGGCCTTTTGCTGCTTCGTCACGTTGACTGCCCTGTGCACGATCTTCATCCATCTTCATTCCCAGCTGCAGTAACTCTTCCAATTCCCGCTTACGCTCATGCATGGCCTTGGGTGCCTTCTTGTAAACAGGTTGAGGTGACGTTGACTGTGGGATCTTATTCGGCGACACGGATCGACCGAACCCTCCGGTCTTGGGCGTGGCGCCTGTAAAGCCCTGAGCCGGGGGTGCACCCGATGCCGCGGCAGCCCGGGCTAGAGGCTGGCTGGCCCCGGCCACCGCGTTGACTGCAGTGGGAGGTGCCTTGGCGACCACTGCCGTTGGGGGCTGCTCGGGTAACGGCGGAGGAACCTGCGGGATGTTGGTAACCGGGGAGTTGATCGGGTCATGCAAGAACCTCTGTAATCCTTCCAGCCTCTCCGTTACTGCCACCAACAGGCGTAGCGCCGCATCACGTTCACCCTCGAAGTCCTGCAGGGGCGTGATGTTATCGGTAAGGCGCTTGGCGGTGTTCAGGAGGTAACCAATGTTGTCGTTGATGCGCCTATACTTGGTTGCATTCTCCTCCGTGTTAACCCCCGAGTCGCGGTTCTGAATGTTCAGGTCCGTAATCGTCGCCATCAGATCGTTAATCTCCTTCTGCGCCCTTTGGAGATTCTCGTTGACGTCGTCACTGTCCTGGATCAGCGCGTCGTTCTGGCGCGTCAACTCCTCGATCCTCGCCGCCATGTCATCCGCGGCCCTTTGCACCTCGTCAACGTGTTTGTCGTAGGCTCCGTGGAAGTTAATCGCCATGTTAGTGAGGGTGACGGTAAACGCGTGGGCAACGTGCACCATGTCGTCAACACGGCGGTTGAGGTTCTCACGCGTAACCGGTCCATCCCCAGCCGGGCTCTGGTCGACCATGGAGCCGTTGATGGTGAGGTTGACCTGGGGAGCCGCCATGCCTTCGTTCACGCTCAAGAGTAAGAGGTGATGGGTGGAGAAGGCCTTTAATAGCTGCAGTTTGCTTGATAGAAATGAGCTGCGAACATCAACATTCGGTACGTCAACATTCAGTAGCTGGTGCAAGCTCATGCCTGCCTGTTAATGCACATTGATTCGTGTTTCGTAGATGTGTGCTCATGCTTTCACGACTGACATACTTGGTCAACGCATCTGCTGCATTCTCGTGTGTCCCGACCTTCACAATACGAATCACTCCCTCCTTAACTTTCTGCTGTAACCATAACTGACACACCTCGATATGTCTTACCTTCCCCAAGCCTCGTCTGTTTGCGATGGCAATCGCAGCTGTGGCGTCACTCTTCACCGTAATCTCAACTTCCAAGTTAAAGTCTCTCAATACTGCTTGAAGTCCTAAACCCACTGGTCCTCCTTTCACCAGTCCATAATACTCTGCTTCACCTGACGATAACGCAATTACACTCTGAGTCGTGCTCCAGGACTTTATGAAATGTTTACCCCACATCACTACTCCCCCACTCGTAGACTTCCTCGTTCGCTTACATCCTGCGTAATCTGTGTCAGTCCAAATGGTTAACTCTTGGGGCTGCTCCTGATATTGATACACATAGCCGCTTCTACTGTGGTACTTCAAATACTTTCCTAACTTGACTAAACCTTTCCAAGAGCTCATCGTGGGCTTTGACATGGTCCTAGCGAGTTCCTTTACCGAATACTGTATGTCAGACCTGTCCTGAGCTAAGTAATTTGCTCTGGCCGTCAACGCTTGCTATCTTTTAGTCATGTTGGGCGAAAGTTCTTCCTCATCTCCCTCTTCAACTGGAATTCGCTCACCTGGCACTTCAGTCCTCACCTTTACTCCTTCTAGCTCAAGCTCTTTCACAATTATCTCTGCATGCCTTTGATCTGCCTCATACCTCAACCCTTCCTGGGTCCATTCCACAATCCTGTTAAGAATTCTGATCGCTTTCATGTCCTCCTTCCCTGGTCCAAGTCGTCCTCTCACTTTCACTTCAAACTCCTCCTTAATTTTATGTTCAAACCAGTCGAGATCATGATCACCTCCTAACAACGTGAAATCATCTCCATGAACTGTTAACCATAACGCTCGGCTCTCATGCTTGAACACACATGGTGACGCAATTCCGCTCTTGAACCCAGCTTCGTTGGCAAAATCCATGTAACAGTCCTCCCAGTTACTCGCAGCGTCTCTGGTTCCGCACATTGATTTTAACAGCTTTCCGCACATACCTGGTTCATAGTCTTCGTCTGGTAACCTGATAAATATGTCTTTCTTTGCTGGAGCGTAAAAGTAAGCTCGTTTGATGTCAATGAATGCTAGCTTTAATCCCACGCTCACCGTTCGTGAATCCAACTCCCTCGGTAACTGCCATTGAGAAAAGCAGTTTTTGTGCTTCCAGTGGAGGTGTAGCTGCGAATATGTTCTTTTCTTTGGAGTTGTATTTAACTTGCTGGGCTACCAGCCTTGATCTGTGGTCTGGGCTTAACTCATCTCCTTTGTTGATGTCTATCCATCTGGTTCCGATGGGCGCCTTCCCCGTAATTTGCCAGCATACTTCCTCTTTCACTTTCTCGTAAACTTTGTGTTTTCTGAATTGTTCCATTTCTTCTTGACGTGCTTTCACAGTCAATTTAGGGTCGAGCTCGTTTCCTGTAACATCATCCCAAGCTTGAGTAATCTCTTCATTTTCTTTGTGGACAACGTTGATCGTGTTCATCGGGAGAGGGTTAACTGTTCCAGTTCTTTCGCACGCCTCACACGTACTAGGCGTCTTGAGCCATCCCTCATGCTCACATGCA